ACTATGGATCTCAGAATTCAACAGCAATGAAAGCGACTTGGGAGACCACCAGATGTCAGCAAAGAGCTACACTTTTTTGTATCTCTTTGATGCAATCTAGTGGTCACTCTAGCAAATACCCAGTAAGGCTGTCTGCCATTACCACTCATTGTGCCAACTAGACAGATGCCTGGATTCCTCTTTGGGTGCACGTTGGCCCTAGAGCAGATGTGACCAGTTTGGAGCTTCTGAAAGATTAAAGTCTCAGTGGAGGCTTTTGTGTTCAAGGTGGATGCCACTTCTGTATTTATGACTCTGTAGAATTGCTTGCCCTTTATATCATACTAAGAGATACTTCATTTTTATATGAGATTTCTACTTCTTTTCTGTCATACTATCAGCCATAATCATATCAAATCTTACAAAATGGTTTATCGAAAATCCCATTTCAACCCAGTTTTAACTTTTGACTTTTTTTAACAAACAAAGCAAAATGATGCCTAGCCAAAGCGATAAGACCAGGAAATTAGACACGTTCTGTTTGTATGGGAGTCTGCAACAAAGTAGATGAAAGAGAAAATCCACAGCTACATACTCTGTAAAATTATGCAACTGTTTTTCACCATTTCAAATCCAACAAATCAGGTTAGGTAAGTTAAATTTACAGACTATAGCAATGACTTTCAGACCACTGTATTTTATCTTTAACTTGTGAATTACATTTGAAAAACTAAATACAATATCCAATTTGTAACAGTCAGTTGTCCCCAAGAATCCTGATGTGCACTGCTGGTAGTCTAAGGTAGATTAATGTAATTGATAGATTGAGACTCCAAACACTTGGTATGTGCAAAAAATATTACAGAGATATAACATTCTGAGATGTTTCTGAATTTGACTACATCCATAAACCGTTTCCTATTCCGGAAAAGTACCAGACTATTTCCAGAATTGTGGAGTTCTTGGTGTTCTCTGAGCTTGGCTGTTTTCTTGCAAACTTTTTGTTACCCCGCTAAATAACATCTTCAGTGCTAGAGTGGAGTGGGGTTTGCTATCTGTTTATATACAGTAGCTTGCCCTGCCAGTGTTGGTGGGGATGTGGTTTTCTCCTTGGTAGTTCCTTGATTAGAGTATTTTTTACTGCTTGT